TCCCTTTAGCACTCCCGTGTCCTGTAACCAGGAAACAAGCCGGTGGTGCCCTGGGTTGGGTTCAGCAAGTTTGTTTTGACTTGCAGCCCACGATGGGAGTGAAGCTCTCATTATGTAACCTTAAACTGGGCCTGGAATGTCAGCAGAGCTTGGCCTGCCAAAGCTTGAAGCGTTGGTTGGGAATGGACTATGTATATTAGTATGACTAATCCAGCTTGGCTGGATACTGGGTGGGTGGTGGGTGGCTCTTTGAGGAGGGAGGTATGACTTGGACTATTTCAAATCTTAGCGCTTAGCATGAACTCTGTAGTTCCTCCCCTCATCCCCTCCCCTCCCACAAAAGAAGTTGAGCCTTACTGACCAACCAGCACAGTCAGGGGCTGTTGACGGATACCCAAGCCTTGATGTACAAATCTGTGGTCAAAATCTGTACATCAAGGTACATCACTTGCAATTAGGGAAATAACGCTTTTGGGTCCTGTGGAATAATGATGTTTCTTAAAGCAGCCTATATTGGTCAAGGGTTGCTGGCAGGGGTACTTAGTAATTAAAGCAATTACACAAAGTAAACATTAGGTTCCATAATAAAAATAGCAGTGAACCCTAGTAAAAACTGCATGTAAGGAAAGAGGAGGGCTCTTTTCCTAATAAAGATTCCAAAGTATAATGTAGGGTCTGTCTGCTGACCTTCTTGGTCGTCCTTTGAGAACCTCCAGCCCCCTTTGCCCCCACACTTCCCCACCAAGCTTCCTCTTGGCTCTTCTTTAGGGGATAAAAGAATCCCGTTTTTATGCAAATGTTTTTAGCTGGAGGTAGAATAATCAGGAACCAAGTTTGCACAGTGATCCTTCCACACAATGTGGACCCCCACCCCACCCGGCAAAGGTTGCGTTTTGGTGGGGATGGCAGAGCCCCAGCCGCTGCTCTGCCTGAGGTGAAGTGGGGAATCGCTTTTGTCCCTTCCCTGATGAATGGATGTAAAGTGCTCACTGAACCTGGAAACACCTCCTTTTGTGTCCGGTGCTCTCCTAACACAGGCCGTTAAACTTGGGGCCATCGCTCATGGTGGGAGATTGAATGGGGCCATTGTGGGGGGGAGGGGTGCACACTGAAGCCATTGTGGGCATAGAGATGCCATTGTTTTCTCAGTATTAAGAAAGGGAGTAGGACTCTAGGGACCTCCAAGCATCCGTGTGGCCGACCACTGCGCCGACTGCTTTTCTAGGTTTGCATTATCCCGGAGGAACCCCCTAACCCGAGAGGTTGGGCAAGGTCAGCTTAGGCTGGCAGCACCGCGGAGCGCCCCCTGCAGTATGGACGTGGTATTCCCTTTCCAGCCTCTGCAGGGCCAGGGTACTCCGTTGCTTCCCAGGACTGCCTGCCCTGGTCTTTGCTGTCATTTCTGCTGGGAAGTTGCTGTTTTCTTCCAGGCTTCGGAGTGAAAAATATTCGTTCAGGGTTCACTTCTTCCACTTTAGGAATAACATATTCTCCCATTCCCTGCCGGTGACTTTTTCTTTAATTTTCATTTTGCCATATGGTCTTTCAGAGGCCCTCTGATCTTAATTATAGCATTCAGCTTTTGTTTATTTAAAAATCAGAAGGCAGATAGGTTATTGAGGGTTTATCTGTACTAATTGTACCACCATACCTGCCAACTGTCCCCTCAGTTGTAAAGGGAACCACTACAATCTTTGCCGACAGTGTGTATACACAAACTCGCACGCACACATGCGCCGCATAACGTAACGTGTTGATGGGAAGGGAGCGTATTTCTAGCTTTAGAATTGCCGCACTGGCATTTTCCACCACGAACCTCTGCCATGTAGTATTGCTTTGTAGGGGATTTGGCCATGGGATTGGGAAGAGCAGGGAGTTAGAGTCAGGAGACCTGAGCTCAGATCCTGACTCTGCCACTGACTGTGTTATCTTGGTGGAAACTATTTTCTTCCTGGAGTCTCAGTTTTACCATCTATAAAATAGGGATAGTGTTATCAATGTGCCAGTAAGGATGTGTGATTTATTGTTTATTTTACTTTTTTTTTTGAGACAGGGTCTTGCCCTGTCACCCAGGCTGGAGTGCAGTCTCATGATCACGGCTCACAACAAGCACCCCTCCTGGGTTCAAGTGATTGTTTTGCCTTAGCCTCCAGAGCAGCTGGCATTACAGGCACCTGTCACCATGCCCAGCTAATTTTTGTATTTATACTAGAGATGGGGTTTCTCCATGTTGGCCAGGCTGGCCTCAAACTCCTGACTTCAAGTGTACCATTGGCTCCGGCCTCCCAATGTGCTGGCATTACAGGCATGAGCCACCACACTGCCCGGGTGTGGGGTTAAAGTGAGGTACTTATGAAAGGCTTGTGGATGTGTTAAGCATCCTGATATCTGGTGTTCAAGGGTTAGAAAGTGAAGTCCCATAGAGCTTTTATAAGCAAGAGGCTTAGATGCAATGGCATCAATTGTTTTTTGAAACATAATCTGCATATAGTTCATTTTGCTGTTTTACCTGCCTCTTTGATAACTTAAATATTCTATTTAAATCACGGTTTATATCAGAATGTATAATATTTTATAGATCTTTTAAAAAGTTACTTATTTGAAGACTATAACATCAATTCACACAGAAAACAGCTTGGCTATGATTAGACTTTGAAAACACTTGTTGAAGGCACTAAAGAAACATGTCTAGAAAATGTTAAAAAACACTAGCTATAGTTTTGGTTTAAAACAAGCATGGCCGGACGCGGTGGCTCACGCCTATAATCCCAGTAGTTTAGAAGGCTAAGGTGGGTGGATCATGAGGTCAAGAGATAGAGATCATTCTGGCCAACATGGCGAAACCCCATCTCTAATAAAAATACAAAAATTAGGTGGGTGTGGTGGTGCACACTTGCAGTCCCAACTGTTCAGGAGGCTGAGGCAGGAGAATCGCGTGAACCTGGGAGACGGAGGTTGCAGTGAGCCGAGACTGCGCCACTGCCCTCCAACCTAGATGGGAGTGAGAATCCATCTCAAAACAAAACAAGAACAAAAAAAAAGCAAACCTGATAATTTTTGGCTTCTTCCTCTGAATTTGGGAAGCTTTTCTGTTAGAGAAATCAATTCTTTTTCTCCCTGATGCCTGAATAAAAATGCATTTAAAAATATTATCTTTAAAGATAATAATGAACATTTAGTAGTTATATTAGGTTCTGATAACTTTTTCATCAGGCCATCACAGTCTGAATAATTGTAAAAAAAAAAAAAAAAAGTCAATTTTAGGAACTATATTTAAAGTATTTCCAATTTTAATATTTTCTTTGAAATGTTTGAGATTGTCTACTGGGTTTTTTCTTAAGATTTTTTTTCCTAAAAGATATTTCAGAAGCAGTGTTTTCACATATGAATATCTGCAACAAACAGTGAGCACTTAACCAGTGGTTAATTGGTTCTATATGTTTATACTTAGGACACGGCAATAAACGTGTACTAGTCTACACACGTCTTTGGTAAAGGAAGCTCTTCTCACAAGCCTGGCTGCCCCAAAATTGTAGTTAAGGACAATGTCGATTCTGATTGCTGGCTTTTGACCCCTACGTCTATGTATTTTACCTAATTTATAGTTGGAAAAGCAGCCAAAAATGTTAAAGAGTTCATGCCAGTAGTTTGAGTTGTAGTTTATAAAGCCCTAAAATTAAGTATGGAAGTACAAGAAAGCCTACACTATGTATTGGGTCAAAGAGAAGAAATCCAAATTAATATTAATTGATATTTATGAACAATCCCTGAGTGCCAGTAGTGCTTCTGTCCTAATCATAGACTAATTTGGCCAACTGTATGGGTCAAACAAAATAGCCAACAACTCTGAGTTTAGATTGGTATGAATGAATAAAAAGGGATCTGACTGTTTTTTTTCTTCTGTGAGATGGAGGCTCACTCTATTGCCCAGGCTGGAGTGCAGTGGTGCAATCTCAGCTCACTGCAGCATCCACCTTCTGGGTTCAAGCGATTCTTCTGCCTAGGTTTCCTGAGTAGCTGGGACTACAGGCGCCCGCCACCACATCCAGCTAATTTTTGTATTCTTAGTAGAGACAGGGTTTCACCATATTGGACAGGCTGGTCTCAAACTCCTGACCTTGTGATCCACCTGCCTCAGCCTCCCAAAGTGCCAGGATTACAGGTGTGAGCCATTGCGTCCGTCCAGGATCTCACTGTTAACACCATATTCCCCAAGTCTGTAGTGTTCTGTGATCTCCAGTGCAAATAGCTGCTCTTGTTTAGATGATTTGACAGCATAATTTAGCATTTGGGATTTTTTTTTTTTCTAAGTGATTAAAAACGTGTGCTTCTTCTCTAGCATATAAGTAAAGCAAGCTTTTCTGTTATATTTTCTAGGGGACAGAATAATTGAAATGAATTGAACATTGGGCTGGGTGGTCGTAGAACTGGTTTCTGTTAGAGGTTAATTGACTCTGAGGAAATTAAACCATCAAGGTACTCCAGGGGCACATCTGTTAGCCTTTTGACAGTTCTAAATAATTCTCTCTCTCTCTAGATTATAAATTCCCTGAGGGCAGGGACTTTGATTCACTGATAATATCCATCCCTAGTGCCTAGAACAGAGCCAGGCATGAAATAGGCACTGAATCAGTATTTATTGAATCAATGAATGAATCTCCTAGTGCACCTAAGGGAAGGACACCAGGAAGATTCTACTATGTTTGTGAAAACAGCAGCCACCATTCCTCCTCCTCATTTTCGTTTGCTAAAATTACTAAGTGCCATGGCTCACACCTGTAATCTCAGCATTTTCAGAGGCTGAGGCAGGAGGATCACTTGAACCCAGGAGTTTGAGACCAGCCTGGGCAGCATGGTGGAATCTCATTTCTACAGAACATGCAAAAATTAGGCATGGTGGCATGTACCCATAGTTCCAGTTACTCGGGAGGCTAGGGTGGGAGGATCGCCTGAGTCCAGGAGGTGGAGGCTGTAATGAGCCGTGATCACGGCACTGCACTCTAGCCTGGGCAACAGAGTGAGCCCTTGTCAAATAAATAAATAAAACAATTACTAACCAGCTAATCTCAAATCAGTTCTTCTGAGTCCCCTGAGCCTGTTTATTTTTCTGTCTGTAAAAGGGGCTGTCTACATGCGAGACTTTGATTATGAGAAATAGTCACTCCTCAACTTCCTTGAAGAGGTGCTAGACAAAAACAAGATGGTTGTGAAAAAAAATAACACTACCGTCCAGACTGTGCTAAGATACTTGGTTGCATTTGAAACCCGTTTCACAGTCTGCTTTGGGCAGGTGATTGCGACATGCTTTCCATCTGTGCCTAATGGGAGCACGCTCTCAGCTCCACATGGCAGCAGGAACATTGGCAGGGTTGTCCCGGAGAGAAGAGAGCGCCAACAGGCGTTGCTATGGTGGAGGCATGACATAATTCAGTTTTACTTGATTATTCACTGGATGTGCCCATTGTATGTAAGCCTCTGGGTATGTTTACAAGGAGCTTAGGAAAGAGGTAGAGGCGGTGCCGTCAGCAGAAGGGCCAGACATGTTCACACACACACACACGTGCGTGCACATGCACACGCACACACACACGCACACTTTTCTTCCCTGGTATCCAACCCCAGTCTTGGGGCAGGGGTGAAATCACCACCCGGCTAGTGACTGGCAAGGCTCAGACAACTTGCTCTTCTAAAATCTCCTCCCCTGGCCTCATAATTCCCTGTAGCAGCTTGGGGCTTGGGTGTGTACGCACCTGATTTCTCTAAGGACACATACGTGTGATAAAGGGCACAGCAATTTCCCGTGCTTACTTAATAATGTTTAAATCTACTTACTGGATTTGGGTGCCTTTCCTTGCCAGCATTCCTAAACTTCATGTGAACAGCAAAAGTTCGAAGGCCACTGAAACATCATTTATTTGTTAATGAAAATCAAGCCATTTCAGAATGGGATCGCACTGTCCTGCCCTGCCACCTTCCCTCTGATGCTATGGAGGCGTGCTGTCTTTCTCCAGAGGCAAGCAATATTGTATTTTAAGCTTATGAGGCAATCACGGGAGGCGAGTTTGGCCAGTGTCTGTGTATTCAGATCCTCTTCCTTTTAAAAAAGAGTAAAATAGAAGTAGAAGGCTATTCCCTGATTATGCTTTCCTGGTGGGTTTCTGTTTGTCCTTGCTGTTTATCAAATGACTTCTCCTCTGCTTCCTATTCATTTGTTAATATTAACTCTTGGTTGTAGCAGAGAGTCACAGTTATCTGAAAAGCAAATTCACTCATTTTTGTCATATTGCCATAGTAAGCAGTAGTTAATTAGGGGCCCCATGAGTGACAGGAGCCTTTGGGTTCCGTAACCGAAAACCCGCCCCAAACACTGGCCATCCAGGTCTGCCTTGTCAAGTCGGTGAGATCCTGACAGCTTGCAGTTTCTTCAGCTTCCCTCCTTGCACTTCAGTGCAGGAGCGGCCCAGTAATAGTCCTGATCCTGCAAATAAGAGCACAAACGCCCGTAAGCACGTGATTAGGAAATATTGCCATTCTGACTACATCAGCAACTTGTAACCAAAGCAACTAGATGTCTTTACTTAATTCATGCACCCCTACCTCCCCACCAGTGCTTGATTAGCTAACTGGTCAGTGGCTAAGAAGACACAAATCACAGGGCATAGGGCACCCTCACCACCCAGTAGAGCTGCCTGGGCTGGATGAACTGGCCAGGTTGATGACTTCTCTTGACAGGAGGGGGGACCCTGTGTTGCTGGCACCTTCACGTAGAAGCAGATATGAGGCATTTCTTAGAGCAGCGTTCACCCCCTTTAGAAATTGTGACCCTCTGTCCATGTTTGTCTGGACAGCTCCCAGTTCTCCAAGCCCCAAAGAATTGTGTGGCTTCTCTTCGTTCTCCAGCATTTAAAGAAATTAAATTAGTTTTCCTGTGTTCCTCACAGTCTAATTTGTTTCTCATTAGAGATAAATAACATTAGACACTTGGAGAATCATAAACCCAAGGATTTCTATGTTAGCTTTCCAAGGCCTTTTTTTTTTTTTTAAGAGAGAGGGGAAACAAAATATTTGGGTCAGGTATTTTAAGATGTTAAATATAAAAATCAGCCTTTTAAGAATCAAATCCAAAGCCAGTCACTTAGCCTTATATTTCTCCCTGTGATTCCACTTTTCAAAACCCAGGATGACCATCAGGATGGGTTTAGTTGGACTATCAGTGGTTATAGGTCAAATCGTGGTCTCATTATTGTTAAAATCTTCATAAGACCCCCTCTAATCCTGTGAGTTTTCAGAAGGAAATCTCTGTGAACAGTCCTGGCATTGCTTTGCCTGGTAACATCTTATTTACGGACAGTACCCCCAGCTGAGCTTTCTTGGTTAATGTGTTTGCTCTGGCACTGCGGTTCCTTTTTAATCAGAAATGCGTATCGATAGGTTGCATGGTTGGGGAAAATGGCATTTATTTTGTAGCATTTTCCCAAGAAATATTGAGTGAATGTTTCTTTAGTACTAAACACATAATAGTCTTTGTCTTAAGAACTTACTAGCATTGAGATTTTTCTGTTGGAATTTTCTTTATTGATACCAGACTCCAGTTGATATTTTTTTGGCATCTCGATCAGAAGGTCTGACTTTTTGGTGCTTAGCAGAGAATACGTCCTTGATAACCTGGAGGCGCCCTTAGTGGAGGCAATGGTGTGTGGGCTTGAGAAGTCAGAGCATTAGCACATCTGTGTTTTCCTCCAGCGTGGAGTTTTGTCATTTCTAATGATGACAGTCCATCAGTCCACACGTTTCAAAATGAAGATAAATTGAATTAATATATGTGAGTTAAGTGACTCATTGATATAATTATACTGTGAGGATTTCTTTAGTGTAACCTAACACATTTAGTAGTGTTAATTGTAACGGCATTGCATGGGAGCACTTAATTTCCTAAACAAACAGAATAATTTATTAATTCTCAAAAAGCAATTTCAAGGCCCAGACTGAGAGAGAAAGAGTATGTATTTTCCTGTAGTCTCAGTTTGCTTTGGTTTATCAAATTCAAAATTGCCAAGAGTGTTTTTCCAGATTCCCACTTGTTATTGCTACATTTCCATGTGTGCCCAATTCAATAGTGTATTGAAATGAAAGTGGGAAATAGGTACCGTCCAGTAAATCTTAATTAAGTCATTGAAAATTGAAGAACACTGAATAATAAAGCAGTTCTAATTGCAGTTAAAACTGTATTGGCAGCAGATATGCCTGAACAAGAATGATAAAGCAGCTGAGGAAGAGCCTTGGATGGCAGAATCGGAAAAGGGTAATACACAGATTAAATGCAAAACTCAACTCGAATGTTTTGTGAAATGTAGGCATGCTGTATAAACCTATTTTTTGCTGAAAAGCATGTTTTCTCTCATGTCAGAAATGATCACAGGAATCCTTTTAATATTCATTTAAATAGTTTTTAATTGGCTTCAGAGAGTTTAAAGTTCAGCATGAAGGTGAGATCTAAGCTTACTAATTAGATCGAATGCAGTTTGACTTAAAGATCAGACTTGATAATTAAACAATTTCATACCAAATGTACATTTTGAAAACATTTCTTTTCACATCCTTGAGGTAAAATGGATTTTCCAGAATTTTTTTCCCTTCTTTTAAAACAGAAATTTCTCTTACAGAAAGATGATCAAGTCTTGTACCGCATGTTAGAAAATGACAAACCTCTTATTTGTTTGTCATTTAGCCAACATCCTGTGTTCAGGTTATTTTATTTATTTTTTCCCATCCAAGTAGAATTTTGAATTGCACGGAACGTTGTGATGAACACAAGTTGTTGTATCTTGTGTTTTTCCCCCCACCAAGTTGTTTGATGCTGTTGAAATGGAAGGCTGAAGTAGAAGGGGCACTTAAGCAGTGAAGGGTTTTTCTTTGTAAATAATAGATCAAGAGCACTGGATCTGTATCTAATGGAGCTGTGTGCGGCCTCCGTTTCAAGGACAGCGCGCGGTTTTAAAAACCACAACTACCGACCATCCCGTCCGCAACCTGTGGTCAGTTTTGTGAATGTGTGTGTGTGTGTCTCTGCTTGCCTTCTCTAATTCCTTAGCACCCCTTCCCCCTTAAACAGGCTTCTGTCACGTCATATTTGATTTCATAAACTTAAAAATAGAAACGTCAAACAATATAAAGATGTATATCAATATAGCGCCTTACCTGTCTTCTAATATTATGGAATGATTTCAGGAACTTTGATCTTGTTTTACTCAGTGTATGAATAAGCCTATTTGACTATGGCATGCTGTCTAAGAAAAGGTAGATGTCTGTGGCTAAAAATGCAGGAATGTTTGTCTTAGTAGCAGAAAAACCGGATTGGTTATATATAGGTTACCTTGATAATCTGATAAAGAATTAAATTTATCATTTTCTCCCCCTTTTCCCTTCCCCTTTCCTTTTTGTAGGTTATAAATATTTCTTATATTTGCCAGTTTTAACTTATGTTGGAAAACTGTAAATTTGATACACTCAGGTGTTGTGGTATTATTGCATACAATTCCTAAAAGCGTAATAGAGCTTTGATCCTTCTGAATTTGAATTAGTTACGTTTTTATCACTTATAATCTAAATTAGACCTAATTAACATTTTCCCTTGCAGTGTAATAGTGCAAACATTGCCAGTATCTTAAAATATGTAGGCTCAGTCAAAAGCATATTTAAAAACAGAAAAATAAACATTAAATGTTAAAGGTCAAGTAGGAGTCTATGTAAGTAAAATAGAAATAAAAGTACAGATGAAGCCTGGGGATCCTTTGCTGATTTCTGAAATCGTTGTTATAAGATTACAAGGTAGTTACTGTAAATTGAAACATTTCTTTTTTTGGTGCTTTTTTAAAATTCCCTAAGTGCATCCTACCCATTTGGGCCTATTTTTAAAAAAGGGTTAAACAGTCTTTCCTTATAAAATAGATACGTAGATAACCTAGGTAAATAGATTTTAAATCAAACATTCTAATTTTTTTTATTACATACAAAAATAAATGTTGAACGCTAATGTTCCTAACACACTGCTTTCTTGAAAGAAAATCATTAATCTTTTCAAATGCAAGTGTAAACTTGATCCATTTTTGCTTTCTTGTCCATAAATCGTTGATTACTGGTTTTGAAGGAAAATGCAGTATGAATGTGTTTTGAATTTTAACTTTGAAATTGTGGATGTACAACATGTTCATTGCAGTCAAATCACAAGCAGAGAGAACCCATTTGAAACAATATTTAAAGCATTCCTGTTGGGGCGTTATTTAATGGGAATGATAAGTTTCAGATTTAGGTTTTAGAAAGTTGAGGTTGGCCGTACTTCAAATCTATGGTTTAACTGCTTTGAAAGAACAGCTTTGCTTGTCTTCAGGGGGAAACAAATAACTTAGGGGACATCACTTCATTCTCGAACAGTCTTTCATCCCTAAGTATAACAAATTGTTTCTTTTATTAATGTGGTACTTGCACTATGGAAGCAGTTCTTAAGGGAAAATAATCAGGAAGATATGCTTTGCTTCTCCTAGATGCTACAACCTGAAATATGTTGCTACCTTCCTTGAAGGGGTTTTCCCTCCTCTCTCTCTCTCTCTCTTTCTCTCTCTCTCTCTCTCTCTCTCTCTCCTGCCCCCCAACAAATATAGCTAACGTAATAGAAATTACAGAACAGGATACAATGAGATTTCCTTCCCTTCTCTCACAGCACGTTTTGGTTGGCTAGGAGAAAGCAAGGTATTGGAATATGATTATCCCTATTTAAGGAAAAAAAAATGATATAATTTGTCATCTTACCAGTTCTCGGCATTCTTTGTGGCGCGCGCTTAGTCAATGCCGGGGAAACGGCGGTCTGACAGCTAATAGATATCTCTGCCCTCAATTGTTTAGACATTTTTTTGTCTTTTGTGACATTGAAGAAAAGACAAGGAAGGGAATAGAAGCAACTAAAAAATGTCAAAAGATCAAAAAATCAATGGGCCGCAGGAATGCAATCTGTTTACCGGGGTGTAGCTGCCGTTTCTGCTCCACCACGAGTCCAAGGCGATGTCTGGGGCAGGCACCGAAGTCGCGTCGCCTCCCTCCCTGGGAGCTGTGATACGGCACACAAAGCGGGCACATTAGCTGGCTGGCCCCCACCCCCTGCCCCTGTAAATAAATAATAAAATAAATACAGGCTTTTCTCTTAAGTCTGCAAAAACCAAGTTTCTTTGGTCCTGTGTCTTTCGGTCCATTTCCAACCATTTCTAGGACTCGATGGGCTCAGCCCAGCAGACGGGTTAGAGGATTTACTGTTGGCATTTTAATGTTCTGGCCAGGGGGGAACACTTGATGTTTGTTATTATTATTTATTTGTTTGATTTTGGAGAAAAAGTCAATGAAAAGTAAATGGGTGATAATTAGGTGAAGCACAATGAATAATGGTTTTGTCTCCAGCTTGGACTCTTTGGACGCGGCTTCTATGTATGTTTTGAGGTGATCAGTGGGAGCAGGGGAAATTTTATTGGAAACTTGTTTCTTAGAGAAGAGAAAGGGGTATGTGGATAGTAAGACTTGTTTAGTTTTTTAGGGAGGGAGAGTGCTGGTTGCTTTCCATAAGAACATTTAGGTTTTGAACGACAGACTTCGTTGCCATTTTCCTTTTTTAAACTTTTCAACCAACTGGTCGTGTGTGTGTGTGTGTGTGTGTGTGTGTGTGTGTGTGTGTGTTCACCTACATATTTGCCTGGAATACAGTGAGAACCCAGAAAAATGGATGGGCCCTACCAGGCGAGGCTGCAATCTGTTGGGGAAGCTTTTTTTTTTCTATTCCCAAGCCTTGTAGTTGCTATTTGATAGTAAGTGTAGTCCAGCCTGCATATTTTATAAACTTTCTATTAAAGTTGTGGCATGTTATCATAAAACTCAATTGCGATACTTTGTATTACGCTCTGGGATTGAGAGATAGACATAGGATTAAAAAAACAATTTCTAGGCATTTCTAGATGATAAATTTAATTTTCTTTGCTATTTGGAGGTCTTCTTTGAAAATGCAATTGTAATGAACGCATTCAGAACTGGAGAATAGATTTACCCTTGGCTTCAAATAGTCGACGTTATCAGGCGCTGTCATTCGTTCCTTCCTATTTTCGGGCTGCTAATTGATGTTTTTGATGTCAGCAAGAAAATTGAAGAAAATGTCATGTGTGAACCAGTGCGGAAGTTAATAAGATTGACTTCGTTGACAGAATTTACAATGAGAGCAGAGACCGCATAATGGGACCGCTGCGAATTCGTGTGCTCTCTTTGGAGTCCAAATTGACACCTCACGCTAGGCCAGTGGTCGATAGGAGAGACGGAACATTTGGGAAAGTTCCTAATCTCATTTTTCCCCCCTTACCTTTTGGTCTCCGATGATGATTTAGTTTCACCGGCAGCTGTTTATCCAGGGGGCTATTGCTGCGGACCACGCCAGGCCCTTAGTTCAGACTCCTGGTGCTACCAACAATGCGTATTTTTTATGCTGTTTTGAGTTTGAAAGCAAAAGAGTCTTAAAAAGGTTAGATTAAGATGTGTCTTAAGGAAAGATGTACTAATATTGGTCAGGGTCATTGCAGATGCTTAGGTTATGTGCAATAAAGCCGAAACGCAAATCCCTCCCTGAATAAAGAAACCATGTTGGCACTAAGATCAGTCCTAGAACATAACAGAAGGTTGTAACTTTGCAAGCAAAAAATAATAAAGTTCTTGGTCACATGTCTCCACCCCCAAAAAGAACATTTTAGCCATGGTGCCCCTTAAGGTTTTTTTTTTTTTTTAAACTTATGGAAGGTTTCAATATAATAGATTAATTTTCCAGTTATGTGGCAAAGTTTATTGGATTTGTGTGTATAATTATGGATTGGATTAGTTGAGTTTGGTTCAGTGCATCTGATTATCTTCTGGCCTTTAGGGAAATGCGCTAAAACCCTAATATGTCCACTACCCCCAAGCGGTCTCTTTTTGAAGGCGCCGCACAAAATGTGGTCTCTACCAGCGCTTGGCCTCCAAGGATCTTCAGTGAGAGACATTATTCTTGGAATATCCAATTAATTCCACGGGCAGTGATCAGTTAGCGCTTCTTCTTCCTTTCTCGCCATTTGAAATGCTAACACAATGAATATTTTCTCATTGGTCTGTGTCCCTCGGCTAAGCTGTTGCCGCGGGCTGAGAATTTCATCGACTGATGAGACCAGAGGCTCCGCCAATAAAAGGTTACAGTACGTGATTTGCATGCCAAGTGGGGTTTGGTTTCATGAACTTAAAAGTTCTTTAACTTTTATTTGACTTTTTTTCTTTTGTTCAAAGTAGATTGAGGGGTAGTATATTTGTGAGTGTTTAAAGTATAAAAATTACTAGGGACAGGAGGTCACAACTATATTTTGGACCATCTCACATAGATGGAGAACATGGCCTTTGTGTGAGTAGCTTTTATGGAGAGCAGCCACATCAACTTTCTAAGATTGGGTAAACGGGAAACAGTTTTTCAGATGTTGCGATTTACTGTTGGGACCCTCTAGAATCCTTCAATAGCTTGACATTTTGGGGATTGATACTGGTAGAGTATCTTGTGGTACTAATAATCATATACAGCATCATTTGAAATGACAAGGGAGCCATCGAGTAGGATGTTTGGAGGAGGAAGGACTATTCTTTGGAGTGGTTGGTAATCAGAGTCTTGGGTACCAAGAAAATCATACCTTCTAGAGGAGTATTCAGAGGCAGAATGTCTTTTGTTTTCAAGGGTACTTTAGGAGGATGTTATAAAATATTGAATTTCACTGAGCACATGAAAATTTACAACAAATAAACGAACAGCACCAGTGTCATAGGAGCATACTGACAGCAGAGTAGATTGTGGTGGATTCGATTATGGCCTACAAACCCTGAGTTTCAGAACTGTGTCTCAACCAGGCAAATCCCCAGGAAGTATGAGGCCAAGAGAAGTCATACATACATTCAATTGGCTAAATGCTTGGTTCAGAAAAATAATGTTTGATGGTGTCACCTGTATCTCTTTCATCTTCCAGACTCTTCCAAACTTGGGTTTTATTAAGTCAGAATGCTTCTTGTTGATTTAAAGCCATGATAGACGTCTTCTGATCTAAGGAATATTGTAGACAAAAGCAAGGAGGGAATGTGGTCAGATGAAGGTTACTCCATCCCTTCGCAAAATGGGGGGAAAAGGGATTGAGGGAAAAGGAAGAGTCAGCCTTCAAACCACTGTAATCTTAGAGGAAGGATAATATGATTGGAGACTTGACATATTTCAACTGAATGAAAAATCATGATACCTTTACCAAAATTGTTAGCAAAAGGGAACCGGCAGGGATAGGAATGGAGAGAGCCTTGCCCCTCTTCTCCCTCTCCCGCCCTCTTCCTTCCTTCCTCTCCTAGCTGTCTGTGAGGAGCAAAGCAGGTGGCTCCCTGTGGCTGACTTTTCATGACAACATGCCATTAGAAATTGCCGTCCTGTTGATCAATCCTCTCGACATGACAGATTTGCCGCAAGGCCTGGCTCTTTGAGCGCCAGCACTGTGGCTTTTCCCTCCTTTTTTCCTGCACTAATTGGTGAAAGTTTTTTTACTGTGCTAGTGGCAGAGGAAATTCTTTTGAACATTGTCACAATCAAGTGTTGACTTCTTTAGAATTGCAAGTAGGTTAAGTGAGTATCAACATTGGGGGTTGAATGGGAGGAGGGAAAACACTAACACAAAGTTACTACTACCTAAATTTTATGATTAGAGTAGTGCTGGAAAACAAACTAATTGGATTTACCCCCATCCCCGCCCCGCCTTCTCTCAATATATATATTGTGGGGTGGGGAAATGCACATGTGCGTGTGAGTGTGCACATGCACGCACACACACACACACACACACAAAGTATTTATTAAAATCGTGGTCCTTTTAAACTTCATTATGTTTTGTCGTGGGGGTGGGGTTGGGGAAGCCCTGACATTCGAAATGGGGAAAACACGTTGCCATATTGATTGAAGAAAATACATCCATTAGTTTCTTCCTGTAATACATGGATTCAGAGCAACAGTAACACAATGATTACATAACATACTGTAAATCAAAGGAATATATAAAGCTTCTGTTAGCGGGGCACATTTTACTCTGAACTTAATGGCATTCTTCTGTCCAAAATCAGCATACAAAGAATAAAACCTCTTGGCAAAGAATCTGTTCTCAGACACGGATTCTTCTCCTGAAGTATCAAGATACACTTCTGCTTAAATCCCGATATTCTAGTTCATATATAAGATTATTTTCTAACCTAGAATGTAACAACGTTTCTTAAATGATTTAATTCCAAACTTCTCTATGAAACTGAGAGTTCATAGGGTTTTATCTTCCTATTTAGACAGAATTTGAATTGGAAACCTATTTTTAATCTATGATTCAAAGTATTTACTGAAGGAATTTGTAAAATTAATCTTTGCTTAAACATGTATTCCTTGATTTAAAAAATGTGTTGGATTAAAAGCATTGTTTAGCCAGATTGAGACAGAATATGTGTATTTACATTTTCCATGTCACAGAATCTGTGTAGTACATTCTCATTCTTATCTATATACCATTTCAGATAATTCTGAATTGGAAAGAAACAGAGTATGAAACCCTTCAACTTAACCATGGGTTTGTGACTATTGAGAAGAAATCTTACACAGAAATAAAGATTTTGTACTGATCCATCATCTAAACATAGCAACGACATGTAAAAAAGAGGCTACTTCTATTTAGCAGTAGATACTGATTAGGAAATGAGAATTATAGGAATAAAAGTTGCTAAGATTATTAGCAGAATTCCTAGTAAATGACTTTAGTTTTAGGTGCAAAATGGAAAGAAGATGGGGAAGTATGGTCTGGAATTACCTGGGCCCGATATCCCTCCTTGGCCATCACAACTGCTGCAACCGTTATAGGGAAGAGAAGTACAGAAACCCCTATTGAAAGAAGCATCAATTCATATAATTAATTTTGCCATTATAAAAATCATTTGTAAAATTTGCATTATTAACATTATCAAGTCACTAGTTGGTAAGACATCAGACATGACGAGAGTGAAGGGCAGCTTAGGGAGAACCGGGCTTTAAACCCTCAGTAGATCGGAGTTAGGATCAAAGGCACTTGCTTTATGTGGCTGTGCTAGACTTTGAAGTCATGACTGCACCTACAGCACTCATTTCATCAAGTTCACTGGTGTCTTAATAGCAGATCAATAAGTTTCAAAGTCGGAGAGTTAATTTGATACTAGTGCTGATGCAGTCGTGCTGGGGAAGCCGAGAGAGAGGCAGAGAAAGCTGCCTATTAACAACTCCGGTTCAGAGCGCACAAAGATGCAGATTAAGGATGTATCTATGGCCCTAAAAAGACAGGCTCTGGCCAGGAATGGGGAAGCTGTGGATTGATAAAGCAAAGGCTCCTTAATTTAGACATCTCAGGTTATTTGGAAGCCAGTCTATGCTTGAAAAATCTTTAGTCGGATACACATAAGTAGGTGTGTTTACACATGTCTGAGTTGTGGTCTAGATAAACAGGTTAGGGGGAAAACGTCTGCACACACCTTTCTAAAATAAAGGGGCATATCTGCATAAGGACTATTGTAGGTTATGGGATGATGTGGGGGAAAAGGTAGGAAAACAGATTTTTGAAGGGAGCATTGAATGTGTGCTTTCATCATAGGGATTGTGTTGATTTTTTTTTTTAAAGTGATATTGGGAATATCTCTCTAAGTGAAGCATATCTAGACAATAATAATTTGATACAAGTCCATTTTGATCTATTTTTTTTTTAAAGAAGTGCTAGAGGAGAAGGCTTAGCACCAAATTCCTTTCCTTCTTTGTAGCGTAACTTGACGTGTATGTGAACAAATGGGACTCTTTGTTGCTTTCTTGTATTCTTATCTCATTCTCTTACCTGATTTTGTCTCAAGTCTCCCCACTTAGAAAGTGATATATTTTTAGGATCTATTCCACAAACTTGTTGGATATACAGAGGACTGAAAGAGAGAAGAAGAAAAGTTGGGGCAAGATAGGATGTTTGTATGTATGTTTGAGATTTTTCTTTGTTTTCAGTGGTTTTCCTTGGGTCCTTCTTACGGGATAAGCGTAAACATTATCGGATGTGTGGTAGAGATGACATCAGTGGCTATGGCAGGAGGGGATTTGGAAAGGCTCTTTTTTGGGCAAAAGGAAAGGATGTAAAGACACAGAGTTCAAAGATGCAAATCACGAGAAAGTGGAAACCTTTAAAAAAATTTTTTATGAGAACTTTGCCATCTGTATGTACAGCACAGGCTTCCCAGCATCGAAGGTCAGATTCACACCCTTTTCGAACAAAACTCTAATTTAGAATGTTCATCTAAGGGTTGATAATGGTATTAGAAGGCCAGTGGGGTGGTCAGTGGGTGTTGTAGATTAGCTCAGTGGCCATTACAGCTTTACCTAGACCCCCACGATTCATTGGGTAGATTAACCATCACATCTGTCATTTTATCCCTTTTACCACATTTAAAATACGAAAAGTGGAGTGGAAATATCATCTTGAAGACAATTTATATGGAGCAAGCCAATAATGCTATTCCTAAAACATCTAAGAAATCACCGTATATATCTATGTGTGCACATATGTATAATATAGTTATATGTGATATAACTCTGCAAGACATAGATATAGATGTGGAGATGATTTGGGTGAATTCAGATATGTTTGTTATGCCAGGTAAGCTGCAAATTTTTAAACTTAATTCCTTTTAATTAGTCTTTTGCCAATGTTGTGGAGAAAGTTATATGTTTTAATATGTCGTAAAATGTTTTCTGCTACTGGCTGATTGCGCAGTTCATTAAGCTTCTGTTTAATTTCTGACAGAACTTCCATTTCAACTTTGCGGCACCCTAAATGAGACTGTCTGGGCTCCAAAGGAGGGTAGCGGGCACTCTTTCTGAAGGGCGATTCGGGATCTGCAGCATGTGTCAGAGACTTTCGTTGAGTTGTGTTGTTTCTTTTGTGTTTATGACAGAAAGATGTCACTGTTAAAGGGAACTTAAGAGTTTCTGTAAATGTAATGGTTCATCCTGAATAAAGTGAGAGAGACAGTGCTTGGAATCTGGGGAATAAGTGTGGAAAGAGCTGAGCTGATGAAGGTGTTTCTTGTCAAATTTGTGTAGGAATTATTTACTGTGCTGTCTTTCCTGAGCCGCTACAGTAAAAGTGAAGACATGGAAAATTATCCCAGATGGGACGAATCGCTCGTTCTCTGTTCTTTTTTTAAAAAGGAAAGATTTCAGGGGAAAAAAAAAAAGTTGTCTTTTTCTTTAGAACAGTATGAATAAAATCTGGACAGCTGTCGAAAAAGATATGCCGTCTGCATTTTTTTTTTTTTAAATTTCTAGCCACCACCATAACTAAATAGCTTGAATAGTACATCTTTTCTTTTTTTTTTCCCCTTCATACATAATGATCTCTACTTCATTAAAAGCGTATTAATCTGCTTCCCAGTCTCTTGGGAGACACCTTAAGATGATGATATTGTGGGTTTTTTCCCCCCGAATTGTTTAAAAAAAAAAAATTCTAGCAGATTTGGTCCCTGTCAGTCAGAAATAATTGTGTTCTTAATCTTGTCCCTGATGGATGACTCGGAGTTCAGCAACGGGCCGGCTCCAATGACAAATACAATATTAATATTCATTAACTGCTTTGACAATGCTAATTTTGATGCAGTAGTAAAGGGCCTTCCAAAGTTACCGGCCAAAGCATCAGAGCTGCGCAAGGTGGCAAGATAATTTGTGCTGGTTTGCTGAGCTGAAGGCTTTTAAAGTCTATAGCAAAAAGCTAGGTACCACAAACAAAAAAGAGAAAGGGAAAAAAGTTCTGAAGCATTGGAAGGCAGGGCTGCGGAAATAATACGATCACAGTCCGCTAAAAAATTTGACACCTCTGATGCAGTTTCTTTGAGTGAAATTTCTACAAAGTTGCAACAAAAAAGCATAGCATGGTAAGTCAGCACATTCTTGATTTTGTTTAATCTTTTTGATCTTTTCAATTATCGCTATTTGAAGATCAATAGTCATTTTTTCCTACTATGCTTAGAAGACGCGCAGCGGTGGTTTAATATGTGTTAGGACCATTTGCTTTAAAGAAACACATCCACAAGTTTCGGTAGGTTTTTTTTTTTTTTTTTAAGTTAGTCATGAAAAATGTTATACAGTAAATTGTTCTGAATTCTTTTACATATCGGTGTTTTTAACGGTCTATATTGGTTTTTATATCCCCCACCTCCAAAAAAAAAAATTCAGCAAGATAATTAAGCTCTGGATGTTGTCAAGAATTTTGAGAGTACTTTCAGTTGGCAGAAAACTTCGGAGTGAAGTGGTCCTCCAAGTTTATCTAAATTCAGCGAGTTTCCTCCCTTGCCTTCTGAATGGCATCAGATAGCTATTAAAGCGTAATTTCACTGGAGAACTGCAAAGCATTACTTTCACCAACTTAGGTGAACTTCTTTGGACTATTGAAATTGCCTTTATGTTTGCTAAGTCGGCAAACAAAATATCAGGCTTTGTTCTTTTGATTGAATGCCGGGATTTGGGGGAAAAAAAGAAGAGTAAGAAAGCCCTGCCTTTTTTTTTTTTTTTTTAAACGCCCCCTCCCTTTTCTGGGGGGTGGGTTGTTGTGGAATCGGGGGCGATCCCGGTTATTGTGCTCTTCCCTATCAAGCGAGATAATTCTGTGAATGGAACTGTGCGTGAGCATCTTGTCTGGCGGCGCTGCTGGTGTGTGCTGCTCCCCTGTGCCGCGGGTGCGCGGCGGCGGCGCGGGCTGCAGGGCGGGTGCTGCCCTCCAGTGGAGCCCGCGGCCGGCGCGGGCCCTGGGCGGCTTCGGGGCGCAGGCAGCATGCCCTCGAGCCGGCAGCGGGAAGGACAGCGCCGCAACCCGCTCTAGATGGTAAGCGCGTCCGGCAGCCGCGGGCGGGCGGGCGGTGCGCGGTGGCCGGCCCGCTGCATCCCGCGCGCCTGCACTGCCGCGTCCACGGCTGTCCAGTCCGCATGCATGCTCTCAGCCTTTGCCATGTTCGCTGTCACTTTGCAGTAACTTTCAGATTGATGTACCTTGACTGGTAAACTGCCGGTGGATGCAGTAGATTTATTTTTTTTAAGCCTCCCTTAAAAATAAAAAACAAAAAAACGAAAGAAAGAAATTGACAATACCTTCCCCCCGCCCCCGAACTTCAGCTTGTGACTATAAAAACATGCTTTATTATTATTTTTTAACTTGGAAGTGAATATGGAGGGGGTTTTGGTGTTTTTTTCCGCCCACTAAGATAAAGGCACCAATGCTCCACCCTCCTCGCTCCCCTCCTCCTCATCCCCAAATATTTTCGTAAAGAATCAGCATTTTGCTACTTGTCGTCTATCTAGTCCTCCCAAGACCCATTTCCCCTTCCTCCCTTCTAGAGCCTCTTTATTTAAAACAAAACAAAACTTTGCTGATGCTGCAGACGCGGGACCGTGGGATGTAAATGGGCAGTTCCTCCCGCCTCCTTACTTCATTGCTCCTGCACTTGATTGTAATTTCATGCTAAAAGGAAAGGGAGCGTTCGTTTTTGTTTTTTTTGTTGTTGTTTTGGGGAAGTGTTTTTTTGTTGTTGCTATCGTTTTTTTTAAACCCCACAGAACTTTGCAGCGCTCGATCACCTTTTGATTTTTTGTGTGGGAATGTTCTAAGCGTGGTGTACTTGTGATAAACGGGGAACACTCTGGGGGTGAATTTAGGAACAGCGTGACGGGACGGCAAATATCTGGAAAGAGTTTCTCAGGAGCAGTGTTTAGTTAGAAGAAATTTCCCTTTACTTTTTAGAGGAGGGGGGTCTTTCTACCATGAGTTAGCTTAGTTTGCTGATTCCTTTTTTTTTTCTTCATTTTTCGGTCTTTTGAGAAAGCTAGAAAATAAATTCCTAGTCAAAGTTGCCCATCCTGTTTGCCGCACTTTATAAGTTATTGTTGCTGAATGATTGGGAGCTGTCCATCAGTGGCAGAGAACTTGCAGTTTACTTAAGAAATTGCATGTGTGACAAAAGCAGCTGCCAGGAGTGTGGTGGTCCGCGTGAATAGAGGGAGGGAAGGCAATTAGGGGACTGTGTGGTTGGGGCTTTTTACTTGTCAAAGTGGAGGCTCATTGCTTTTGTTACCGCCATGTAAAGGGAAATGGCAGGGTTTTGTTTTGGTATTAAGGGCCTTAAAGATTGCTGCCTGACACTTACACAGGAAGGCCAGATAAGTCCAGAAAGAGAGGCCACGGAGCAGTATTTTAAAAAAGAAGAAAATGAAGAATTCACACTTTTTTGTTATCTTTAAGCCCTCCCAGCCCTTGTTTTTGTTGATTTTTGGAGGTGGGGCGGTGAGGGTGATTAACTTGTTCCATGTATTAACAGATTGTTTTCATGATGTAGGTGTTTAAGCAATCTTGTGGGTTTGGGGATAAACAGATGGGCAATCAGTTCAGTAAATTAAAAACATCTCTACGTGAGGTGTCCTGCAGCCAGAAGTAACCAAATCTTTGCCACTGGTCTTGCTTCAAGCCACACAAGTCCAGGATCCTGTGTGGCAGCAGGGGTGTTTTCTTACCTGTATGCAAATTGGAATTGTGTATTTGCTTTTGAAGAGGGAGAAATGACTTACCACTTGGGGTGGGAAAAGACCGGAGAAGCTTTCTCGATGAGTTTTGTCCCCTGCAACTTTTTCTGCCTGTAATCCCTCCTTGAGCAGCCACCCTCCCACACTCCCCTCCTTCATGTAAAAGAGGATGATTTCTGGCCTGTGATGTCTGAGTGTCTCAACTCAAGTTAAGTTAAACCCACACAAATGTACCCGACCCTGGATCCCATAAGAGCCCCAGGAAAAGTAAGTCGGGTTTGTGGGATTCAGCTCTAGCCTTCGCATCCCTCTGCTGTTTCCCTTCCTTCTCTCTCTCTCTTTCTCTTTCTCTCTCTTCCTGGGGAAAGCTCACAAAACTCAACAGTCAAAAAAGTGAGTTAGCATTCTGACTACTGGAATACCAGTGAGCCCGGGAAGCTTCCTTGCTTCTGCTTCCAGAGAGGTCAGTTGAAAATCTTTCAGGCACCGTCTGTTAGTCTGGAAGGAAGAGAGGGTGTATACGGGGCAGGCAAGGCCCTTCGAAGTGTCACTTCCGTGTTACTGTGACAAGAAAATATCCTTTCCTCCTCCCTCCCTTCTCCCATCACAGCCCTCTCCCTAAGAAATTTGTTTTGAGGGATTTGACAATCTTGCAGATAAAGTGCCTGCCTACTGCACCCGGTTGATCATTTTCCCTCATGGCTGACCGTAATTTCTTTGCTACTCTTAGCGGCAGCTCTGTCCCTGCTGCCCAAGGTAACGGGTGAGGGAGGGGACTTTGCTGAGGTGCCCTGAGCTGGCTGGGGAACATGGACCTTCCCGCTTCCTTCACGGATTCTGTAGTGGCAAAGATTAGAAAGTAGAAGGAGTTTTAAAATTAAAAAAAAAAAAATTAAATCTGCAACCAGCTGAACTCTAGATTATTAGTGGGTTTTTTTGTTTTTTATTTTTAAGATTTTTTTTAGGGGTGTGTGTGCAGGGGGAAGGATTAACACAATAATTCTAGGCAATATGAGCGACAACTTTGAGCATTTTGAGCCTACTTGGCCAGGAATCTGGAGCCATTTCGATCTTTTTAGATGCTTTTTTCCAGTTCTTTAAGTGAAAGGTTTAAAGGGAGGGGAAGCTGGGAGGAAAAAGAAAAGTGAGAAAAGCAGAAAGGGAGGAGGAAAAAAAACTGGCCCAGTCCCATCTCGAAGGTACAAAGTTTTTTAGAGGTGGAGAGAGGGACAACCCAAGCTGTTATGTACCCTAGGGATACAATCTTAGTGGGAATGGAAGATTTGAGTGGTAAGGGAGGTGCAGTGGCCTCCGGGGTCTCTCTGTTCCAGCAGTTGGGCAGTTGGCACCTCAATTTGAATTGCTGGGTGAGTAGTGGGGTGGTGTGTGTGTGTGTGTGTGTGTGTGTGTGTATGTGTGTGTCAGGATGTGTGTGTGTGTTCGTGTCCATGCCTATGGTCTTGACCATTAAACCTATGCTTTTTTTCTTCTTAATTTAGATCATGGGAGGGAAAAAACAAAACAAGAATAAATGGTCAACTCAAGCCAAGCCCTTTCTCTGACTCCTTTTCACAGCAGTTTTTTGGGGAGGGGGGGAAGGGTTAAAAAAGATGGGGAGGAGAGAAATCTGACTTTCATCACAGTCCTTACAGTTCTATGGTAAGGCAGACCCTGTTCCCCAAGTACGGGTGAGCTGGAATCTGGGAAGGGGTGGTTTAATTTTTTTCTTCACCCACCAGGGTGGGCTCCATCGGAAGAGAGAGAAGGAAAAATGGCATTGCCTCATAGAGGAGCATACTTTAAAAGCTTGAAACAGTTTTGAGCAATAAGGCTTTTACAGTAGCAGGGCTTCAGTAAACTGTGTATTTTGATTTCATGTTTAATACTAACTTTCTGTGGCTCCGTCTTTACTTGTCAATCTCCAGATTTAGATGCCGGCCTTTTAGGGCTATGTTCTTGCTTTGTGGTGCGTGTGTTTTCTAAACTTAATGTAAAATGTGTTTAGGAAACCCAAGCGCAAGAGCCTGATGACAGCTCATTGTGCTGTTAATGATTAGGGAGAAGGCCCTTTCGCAATATGAATTTGGATTGAGGATCCATTATACGCTCTTCAACTGTGGGGTGATATCTTTTGCCACAGGCTGTAAGGGCATTCTCTTGAATTTGAAGGCAATTTCTTAATTACTTTTATCATTACTTTTATTATTTGTGGTGTTACCGTATGACCAAACAGATAATCTGTAGTGGTCGATAAGCTCTTCGATTCAATTTTGGGGTGGGAAGGAATGAAACATACCATAGACTTGTGTTTAGATTTTCAACATCATGAATTAAATTCTGTGTGTCATACGAAAACACGCAGTCGTAGATAGTTCTCTAGCTAAGCATAAAATAGCGATGGATGTAAATCTTGGTTTCCCTTTCTAGTTGTGTGTGCAACTTTCCAGTTCAATCTAGGATTGTGTAAACTGTCAGGAATGGTGGGGAAGAGAGTACAGGCTGATGGTGCAAATGTGTACGTTGCGTTACTGCAGATATCACACCTGGTACAGTCTCCCATCTTGAGGTTCTAGACCCTAGTTTACTCAAATTACCTGCGTTACTTAATCGTGGTGCTGTTGGCTTTGGTGAGAGTAAACCACCGTTCTTGATGTCTTACGAGAAGGGACTTCCTTTGAAAATGTAAATTCCTGACTCCAGTGATACAGATATTATGATCTCTGTATTGTCACAACACGCTGCTGCGTCGTCATTTTCTGGAAGCAGCAGAGCCTGCAACCTTGTATTCTTAGGGAGACCTCCCCTTTGTGGTTTGAGGTTGTTGGGGACCTGGCTGAGCTGTGTAATCGAATTCTTTCCTTCTGCAGTATTTTGGAATGTGATGAAATCCTGACATGCCCTCCAGATTACATACTTCTGCACACATTTGAGGATTTTTGAAAAAAACTCAACTTTGCCTGGGTCCATCCCTCGTTACCTTAAACTTGCAACGTATCAGCTGGAGATCAGAGGGAGCAGCAGTTGTGTTTGCCCTCCTCGTCCCATGGTGACTCTGTGTCATTTTCACACGTGTTCTTTATTCTGGCTGTAGATGCCTGTTACAGGATGCCCATGTTTGGGATACAAACAGGGCAGGATACCACAGAACAATGCAGTTCTGCCTTTGTGTTCGTCTTCCTTTCTGCCTGTCTTTGCTGAATCCGAGGGTTTGGGCGTTTGTGTTTTTTGAGCCACACAAATGGAAGCGATCATTCTTCCTCTTGGCTTACCTGCTCTTTTCTGGGGAAAAAACTTACCTGATCGGCATAGGAA